GATTTTTTTTATATTATATAATATAATATATAATTTTTCTATTATAAGCAAGCTCAACACATGCAAAAGACGTTAAAAAAAAGAAAAAATCAAAACTATAAATATTTACTACTAATAATCGTTAACATATAAGAATTACCAAAAACTCATTTATCCCATATAAATGCATGTAAAATGCATTTATGCATGTCGGAGTGGTCCACCCACCTAGACTACTCCGACCGTTCGAAGGTGAATAAATATCCGACCGACGGAGGGTTAACGATACTATTTTAAAATAGAGGAAAAATGATGTGTGAACTCATTGCTGTGTGAATGAACTCATTGCCTTAAATGAAGTCCAATTTAATAGTAAGTAAGCAAGTAATTTTTTCGTTGTTACTTTTTTTGTTTTTGAACGCGGTTGTTAAGTTTACAATACATAAATATAATTTTTAGATACGCTTTCGCTTTATAAAATGCGTTGTTATTTTAAGTTGATTCAACAGTATTTTATATAATATCTAAAATGTATCAAGGACTACCTGAGCCTTTAAACGATATTTAAACAATAAGAAAATTGTAAATAAAAATGTGAAATTATTAAAAAATGCAATGTTACATTACAATTTAGATAAATTAAATTAACTCTGCTGATGATTTCTTCTGACAAAGTTTTATACAATAGTTGTATGCAGTGCGATCTTCATAAAAAATATGCCCATAAAATACGTATTTCAAACACAAGTTTTATCTAATTTGTAATAATTGTATTTCAAGGAACAATGTATCAGATAGTTTTTGGTTTGATATGTGGTATTTGTTGTAATGTATTTGATTTTCAACACAATATAATTGGTCCTACTCTATGTCATTCATAATTTTAATTGAGCAAGTATATCGATGTATGGATTTTTGAATTGTTTAATATGGATTTATGATTTGAATAAATATTCAAAACTCATTATTGTGGTACGTTACAAATGAAACCATTCACAGCGAACTCAACATGAAAACGGCGCAATTAACGTTTAAAAATTTAAGGAAAAATATAAACGTAAACTGAAATCAGATTCAAACCCATCAATAGACGACATTATCCAACCATTTGGCGTAAGAAGACTGAAAAGTCAATGGCCTTTAGATTTAGTCTTAGATTAGCTTCAATATAACATTATCTTTCTGATTGTTAAACTAAGAAGATCTCACTGGAGTTCTTCCCAGACATCGCTTTTAAATATTGTCAATTTAGCTTATAGGAATCCTCATGTATTTCTGATTGCTGAATAAAACAGAGTTAAAAAAAATAATAGTAATACTGACAAAACTGTTTGCCAAATGTTTGACAAATTATCCTTAACTTCCAGACCAAGTTTAAATGTTTTTCATCAACATATAAAAATAGACGTCGAAATCTAAGAAAAATCCTAAAATGGTGGTGGTGGTTCACTATGATAATTCAAGCTCTTACACATCTCTTATTAAATATTATTGGACTTGGATGAAATGTAATATTATATTTCTGATATAGTCATCATCTGATGCCATCTGATTACCATGTACTTAGTAATATGCAAAATTTTTGGTTAGTGACAGATTCACTGGTGATAATGACTTGAATCGCACTTAGTTCAGTTGTCATTTTCATAAGTAATAAAAGTTTTATGTTGAATATGTAATCGAGAACTTAGCAGAGATATGAAAAAATTGTTTACCAAAAATGAAATTTATATCGCAAATTAAGTATTTTTTATATAAAATAAATCGAGTTATATTTGGAGTTACTTAAATAAGATCACTTGCAAGCAAAAATTTTTCTGGGGATAGCAGAAACATTTTTTAACATAATACTGTAACTGTTATAAAACGTATATTAAAAAATTATGTGACTGCAAAAGATATTGTAATATTTATCAATGTGTTTTCAATCGTAAAATAATAAAGTCAATAATATGTTAGTAAAGTTAGTTCCTCGTGTAATCAGACATACCTAATATTGCATTTTTGTTTCAAAATATACTAATTATATATAGTAAACTCAAATTTATTTTATATTATATTTCATCATAAATTCTTTTGACAACATTCTTCAAGATGCTTATTAATCTCAACATCAAAAACAATTTTAACGTGATACACCGTATGTAAATATTACACTATGTACGGAAATATTTTCTTTAGAAGCTCATTATATAAAATATTGAATAATTCTTTTTGTAGCTGTCAGCTGAAAAAACCGTTTGCACTTAAAGGCATCGCAGCGACCGTGCTAATGGAAAACAAGCTTATAGTAAATTACATTATTCACTCAAGTGTCAACAAAATAGAAAAAGTTGTTGGCAGAGAGCAGTATAATAATATTCAGTATCACATACATTTTCAATTTACAAGGTCCAATTAATTCACTGATTTTTTTTATTTTGTAACGAGTTTATAGCAAAACTCTATGTTTTTGAAATAAGTGCATCTGCTTTATCTATATATTTATGCATGTCAGTAAAATAATTGGAAAATTACAAGTAAAGCTTATAAAATTGAATGCCTCCTCAGGTTTGCAAACATATCTACAATAACTAATATCACATTTTTTGTTTCTAATATAAGCATACTAGTAGGTTTCTGTATCTAGTAACTTTTATCGTGGAAATATAATCCTATTCGCAAAACTTTCTTTTTGCTTTCTTGTCTTCGTGTTTATTTGCTCATTTATATATCATACGTAATTTAAGTTTCTCGAGTAGTTAACGTAATTTAAACGCTCTTAATTACATTTTGAATTTCATAATTTATGTTCATAAATAAAGAAAATACTCAGATTAAATTAAGCTTTTCAGAAAATATAACATGGTTGGATTCTTAAAACACTCTAAGAACTGTGAAGTATGTAATAAGATTTTTAGAGTAAAATCAAATTTAATCTAGTTGTAAGATTAATAAAATAAACGCAGTTGTGTAATAAATATTGGCTATTTACTTAACTGGATACCTGTAATTAAATAATTTACTGGTCATGGAGAAGTGCCAGAATATTGTGTATTAACGAGTATATTCGTCATGCGTATAAAACAATTACCATATGTTATTTAATTTAAAAATTTTGAATAGAAATAATATATATTTTGAAAGGTCAAGTTTTACATTTTGAGGCTATGACTGTTTTTACTTAAAGGGCGATTTTACTCGGGACATAAGATTTAAGAGATTTTTGAAAAGCCATAAAAATGGCAAACAATATTTTCTATTATTATTCATAAGTTATTTAAATTTATATTTTTTTACCATTTTTTTGGTATTTTTGTTTTTTATTTGAAAATTAAAATCGAAATTTGGGATGAGCGTAGTTTATACTGAAAAAAAAAATCTATAAAAAATACTCTGTAAAAATTCAAAGTGAATCAGTCCGGTAAAATTTGAATATTGTATGTATCGTATCAAAAAGGACAGTTTCCAGTAAAACGAGTTTAAAGTTTCGCGGAGAAAGGAAACAGAGAATGATTATTGTGGTCAAACAGCTAAAACTCCCAAAATAATTTTCAAAAATCTTTTTCTAGACATATTCTTTTATAGTAAACTTTGAAAACATAGTAGAAAACAAGAAGAAACAAAATCGATTTTTACAAAAAAAATAGGCCAGAGCCCCCCTTAAGGCAAAATAATCTTAAATAAAGTTAAATAAACCGTTTATTATGCAAGTGGTTTTTGCTTTTTAAAATAAACTGTGATTGACTAATATTTACTCGTTACCGAGAACGTATATTCATCATGCGTATAAAATTTTAATCATAAATTATTTTGATTAAAATTTTTGAAAATAAGAAAAACAAATTATATTTTTAAATTTCACGATATTTATAACGTAGTTGCATTGGCAATTTACTTTAAAAACAGAATTTTACCTCAACTCTGACGACACAAAATAAGGCCCACAGTGACAGCGCCACAGTTAACTGGTTAATAATATTTGAATAAATCTAGAAATATCAATAGTTAACTACTGCAAAGAAGTTAAAGTATGTATTGTGATTGTTAAAACAGTTGATCCCATCTTGTTGGTGAATGAATCTGCACTAGTATCATCTGCACATCGATACGCAACGCAACAGTATGTTTTCATGAACATCATTATTCGAAACGGCAACCGATTGATGCACTTGAGCGCGTTTTCAGAAGTGCTATTTCATAGTTTTTTTTTGCTCAACAATAAATACAAATCACGAGAGACAATATATCAGTGACGGGGCATTATTTCAGCGTGTTGTCACGGGCAGCTGTAGTTCCGGTTAGCCGCTTTGCGCATCGGCGCGCGTTCTATATACGGAGAACGCTGCATCGTGCATCGTGCATAGTGTTAGAACGAAATATCGAGTCTGAGTATATATCGATACTTTGCGGTCGATAGTGAGTACTTTTGGTATCGATTTTTTAGCTCGATCTATTTGCCAGTATCGATCTTTTTCGTCGATAGTACTCAAAAAGAATCGACAGCGTAATCTATGAACACCACTCATCGACCAACTATGAACACCACTCATTTTGCGAAATGCAATGCAATAGTCTCTATAGGTGGTCATAACTGTTCAAAAAAGTGTCAAAAATGATCCCGAAGGGTGTCATTAGTCTCAGAATTTATTGCTCAAAAACCCAAAATGAATATGACCACACTAATAAATAACGATGTTTATTTATTACTCTTATGTAAAATGTTTTATAAAAACATATTCAACAATCGAAGTATGATTACACTGGGGCCTCGCTTTGCGGCCTAGATACGTTCCGCAAAACTTGGCCGTAAAGCGAAAAGCCGTATAACAAATCAATTATTCCAATACGAATTCATACAAATTCAATGGGATCGGTTCCAAATTTAATAAATATATAATATGGTTTATCATTCAAAAGGTATTTTATTTTTTTATTTTGTTTAAATTATAAACATATTTAACAAGAACATAAATTTTACATAAAATAAAAAATTTCAAAATTATTCCATAATTTTTAAATAAAAATGAAACAACTAAAACCTACAGATCACTGCCACCATCATTTTGCGTTGGTGGTTTGAAAAATTTGTCTAAAGTTGTTTGTCTTGCCTTCTTGTCTATTTCTTCCTTTAGTGATTTATAACAGCTAATGGCTGAGTTAATTCCTCGAGACATATTAGCGCTACGTTCGACGTCAGGATCGTTTTCAAGGAGGATGTTTATTCCTTGTTCAAAATATGAAAAAGCGTTCGACATGATTTTTGATGTTAGCTGTTTGGATACAACAGGTTCTGTATCTTCATCAATTGCCGGCTCTGCGTGCAACTGAATGAGTTCCTCATACGAAAGGGGTTCCCTATCAGCTGCAAGTAGATCCAGCACATCAGATTCGTTTAAATCTTCAAAACCGAGATCATGTGCTAAATCCAGAATGTTTTGTATAACTTCAGGAAGGAAATTAACTTCTGCATCGGTAGTTTTTATACATTCTGGCCATAATTTTTCCAAACATGGTTCATTGTTGTCGATTTCAATTCCTTCCAGGATACACTAATGTTCTCAACAGAATCCATGACATTATAGTTTTTCCAAAACGTTTGAACCTTTGAAACGTAAAGGTATATGAAAGTTTTCATTTTCGATTTTTTTGCGATTACTATAACTTGCCCTACGGGAAGTTAAAAAAGCCGTTATAGCAAAACATTTTAGGCCGTATATCGAAAACGTTCCTTAATTAAAGAGGGCCGTTATAGCGAAAGGCCGTATAAAGAGCGGCCATATAGCGAGGCCTGGGTGTATTTCAAATAATAATACTCACCAATTTCAATATATTAGTATTTTATTTCGATATTCGATATTAGTTTATTATATTATGATTCTTTTTTATGCAAAATACTAATATACTAAAATGGATGAGTATTATTATTTAAAATAATATATTTCGATTCATTTTTACGCAAAATACTCATGTATTGAAATTTTTGAATATCAACATGCAAACATATGGGTTTGAGTTTCTCGAAACCATTTAAACTTTAAATCCCATCGCTCCGAAGGGATGTTTCTCTACAAATATCGAAATATTATCTTGACCGTCATTACACTGAATGTTTATTGCTCTCCAAAGAGCTTCATATTGCACTTTTATGTAAACATGCAACGGCTTTTTAAAGTTGCATGCTTGCTAAAATTATTCATATAAAAATATTCAACAATTATAGAATATCATTTTATTTAAAAATATTAAAAATATTATTGTACTTAAAAATACTTAAAAAGTATTGCTTTTTGAATATAGTATCAGACTATTATATTATTTTAATCAAAAATACTCAACTATTATACCTTGTCTTTTTTTTAATTATAGAATTTGAAATTAATATTGAAAAAATACTGTTAAAATTTTACAATATTGAAAATGATTCTGATTTAACACATCAGATACAAGCAATAAAATTCATTCTAATATTGTGATATAATATTTAATGAGTTTTAGATCTTTGTTGCACTTATGTTTGATTTTTATAAAAAGTACTCAAAATTCGATATTGAGTACTATCGATACTTTTGCCACGATATTTTTTTGGCATCGATATTTTGATTAGATACTTTTTAAAGTACTCAATATCGATCTTTTGCCTCGATGCTTCTAACACTAATCGTGCATCGTGCATGGTGCATCGTTCGTTAAGGGCGTCGCGACGAGACGGGACGCGAGGCGACGCATCCGGATATTTTACGAGCGATGTTTGTCCCAGCGCCAGCTCGCCAGCTTAACGAGCTTACCCAGAAACACCCATAAATACGATAAAGGAGAACGAAATATTTAGATGAAGAGCTAGTTCTTCGATTTTCTTGAAGATTACATTGATTTACCATCAATATTTAAAAAGAAGTTTCAGAGCAAGATCAGAAGAACGACCAAAGGTTACTAGTTGTTGGTTTAAATGCATTTTGCGCCTGTGACATTGATAATGGAGCAAGTATCACACTTTTTTATATCTTATATGATATTATCGTGCTATAGGATGTGGGCAGCACAATCTAGTTCCGGGTTTGATCCTAGACTCTGTTAGGTCGATATTAGTCAGGATGATATCAAATTTCCACTTTTTTATCGACTTCCGATAGACATTTAGCCACATACGTAATATACAAATATTATCCACTTCTATCTTTCACATTACTACAAAAATGCGAATAAATAGAACACTGCATCAAAATATGCAAATTGAAATATATTTGTCATCTTAGATTCAGCTATTAATTCTAATAAAAGTAGATATTTAACTATTTGAGAACCATTTCAAAATCAATATCATATTATCGTTCGAAATATCGTGGAAGTGGCAAAGCTTACAAACTTGACCATAAAGTGACTTGGTTAATATGTTTTATTCCATCGCTTCTATTTACTATATTTGGTGACCTAATTATAAATATGTTATAGCTTGAAGCAGCATGATATTAAAAACTATTGGTTTTATATACACCAAATGCTAATATACACATCAAGATAATAAATTTATGAATTATATATTTGCAAATGCAGAAGAAAAGAGTGCGCGTAAGGATCACACGCGATTGAAGTAAAACTTATTTGTTACTGTACAAAGTAGCAATTTTAAGTTAAGTAAAAATAAATACATCGTAAAACAATTTTGAATAATGTTTATTAGTAATATGGTAACACTCGTAATGCACACATTTATTAGTGTCAACCATTATACACATTTATACAATGATAAATTATAAATTATATATTTATAATAGCATTACAAATATGTATAATATTTAAAAACAATAATCAATAAATTCACATATGACATGATTGGTTTGTCATTGTAATTAGCATTTAGAAATGAACCTTCGTTAGAGAAATGAAGTAATTGCTGATTAATAAATTCTATAATATTCGTTCACACAGTGGATTATATTAAACAACGCTTAAACAAATATTGTTTTCGCAACTTCACTCATCATGTAATAATTGTGTTTGAAGAACTTCATGTAAGTAAAATTAACATACATTCATTGACTGCTTGTATTTTTTTACTTTTTCGCTGGCGATATAATCTCATTCTTTGAACAGCTGTAATATGTCTTGCCTAGAAAAAATTTTCCATTTTAATAACTTCAAAGAAATAATTTCTTATTAATAAACTCATTAATCTTATTAATCAATATTTTCAAGGAACAGGATAAAATATTTTTCTGATTCAGGCATTTTTCATTAAATCAAGATTTGTACTATGATGTAACTTCAAAATGTTAATTTATCTATGCTGATTTCCTCGTTGATATCGGTACGCATACAACGTTGACGCCGGTACGCATACAACGGCAGATCTCTATTCACATACGCTGCCGTAACGCACTTCCGTTGCATTTGTACGGATTCACACCCTAGTCGCGCCTAAAGAAGTTTTATTTCAAAAATATATGCATGTAGTAAAATCGTTGTATGAAAATATAATCTCAAACAATCATTTAATATTTATAATCTGAAAGTGGTCAGAAGTTTTATGATAAATAAATAGCATTAGGCTAATTTGAAAAAGTTAAAAATAATAGTGAGATTTCACAATCATTATTGCATTTTTTTAGACTAAATATTTTTAACATTTTCATATGTGTAAATATTCGACCTAATACTGTGGTTTTCAATCTGCGGGGCGCAGCATCCCAGGCTATCGCAAGGCTGTTGCAACGGGAACCTACAGCTCTTTCCAACATACTATTTGCGAAAATCAACCATTAATGTTGAAATTATATGAAAAATTAATTTTTACATGATATTATATATAATTTGTAGCCTGGTGAATAAATTATAAAACCAGTTCAGTATTTATGAAATTAGATTCTTAGAAAAATTAAGGAGGGCGCAACAACTTTTGCAAAAAAACGAGTAGTGAACTGTACAAAATAGCTGTTAATTAATTAACTGACTTAATCAATATCAATTAAAATTAACCAACTTTTGAAATTGTGACTATAGGAATTCTGAAACTTTCACAAGGCCCATTATTATATATTTTTTTAAATTTCACTAAATAAACCACTTTTCTATAACTAAAAGTATTGATAATATCTGTATTTAAATCAAAATTATTTCACGTTACAAGCTTTTTAAGAGGAGTTGCAACAAACACTAAAATGATATATTGAAAATGTATCATGTAATATAATGTTTTTGAATAGTCATCTCAAAAGTTTCCTCAAAACGTCTGAAAAAAACTCAACAATTAATTACCAGCTTGGCCAATTTTTACCACAAGCGCGTTTGGTTTATGTTGCAAATAGTTTCTTAGTTTTTAAACTGGTTTGGAATTTTGGTTAAAATTGGTACGTGGAAATGCTCCTTCGGGAAAATATTAGTTTATTTAAATACCTGCGTATAGCAGATTTTTTTTCCTAGTTCAATTGTATTTTTAACGGTATACCAATTCCATTTTCGACCGGCCGCCCCGCGCCGCTTTGTATTTATTCGCTGATGACGAAAACTTCTATACGAATCGTTAGCTCCGCGCGCTGATTGTAATTAACGAAAACACGCACAGAACGCGAAGGAGCGTTCTCTTCTACATCAAAAACAAAGGCGTAGCAAAAAACTGTTCCAGTATACGATGTTCGCTCATCAAATTAGTAGCGTGCTGAAGCCACGCTACAGTTGCGAAATTGAATATGCAAACAGTATTCCTTATTATAAATAGTTCAGGCATGCCGTCAAATTACAATAAAGATTTTTTTATTTATTGTTTGCTTGATCATCTCTCTACATTAGACGTTAATGCAATTAATAAGAACTGTATCCAGTGTTGCAGGTCTTTGCAGCGATGGCAGTAAAACAAGCTTGGCTTATTAATTAAACATAAAATATGCCATTAACTTTGTTTGTGTCTACCGTTCTGGAGTTGATTTAATGACTATCAGCTGATAAGTCTGATTAGATTGTCTTCTATCAATTCTCAGATCTTCTCAAAAAACCCCATTGGGAGTGCATTACCAATTTTCCAAAGTACTTCTTTGTAGAATCTCAGCAGGATTTTAATATTAAAATGACTAGCCATGCCCCACAGCTGAATACCGTAGGTCACAGCAGATTTTACGACGAATTTATTTACAACCATATAGGTGGTTGCATATTTAGGCATAATTCTCTAAATTAAACAAATATACTGAAAATGGTGCAATTGTGATGAATTGAATCTACTTGATTTTACTTTGTAAATATTTGTAAATTTTATTTGCACTTATTTTAAAAATATATTTAACCGATAAAACCGGGGTAAAATGGAACACCCACGGGCTAACAGATCTAATGTCTTATTTTTAAGCTTGAAAGATTTTACGAAATAATAGTTACATTATTCAACCAATACAAAATTTAAACTTTATGAGTTCATTTAACACTGTAGATAACCTTGATCTGATATTTTGTCAGAAATATTCATCTGCAGAGTTGATATAACTATTTATTTAATTTACT